CAACTTGAACTCTTTAATGTTGTTGTGCACCAACCCTATGCCTTCAATTTTATGCCTCCATCTGTATATCAATCAAAACAAAAATAGAGACATTTTGTTCAATAATTTTAATCAAAATAATATTTTTAATTAATATTTTATATTAAAATAGAGGATTCATATTACCTTCCGGCAAGTGGAAAGTCAACCGCAGTCCGACTAATCGGTGTCAAAAACGGAAGTCTATGCCAAGCCCATGATTGTAGCAGCAATAGACATCCACCGATTTCTACTGTATTATTATCATTCACGACTAATGACGCCTTGCACATCTCACGATACAAGAACGCCAATATCGCCGAACCCCAGCTATATTGCCTACAATTCTCAAAATTTGTTAAAAAAAGAAGATTCTGAGTGTGAACATAACTACCGGATTTATCAGGCATCAAAATTCCCCCAATCAATTGTAATATATATGCTCGTGTTGCATATATAATTTCGTGCTCCGTACTATTTGATTGAAGTTGAAATTCATTCTTCAACCATGACAACCTCACCCGCCACCCTTTACACTCTGGTGGTACGGGCGCTTTCCCAAGAAACAAGTTGCAAAGTTGTTCCACCTTATTAAACTCATGTGACATTACCACCGGCATCCCATTAGTTTGGACCCCGAGTTGCATTGCCACATCCTCCAAAGTTATCGTGCATTCGCCACACGGCAAATGAAACGTGTGCGTTTCTGGTCTCCAACGTTCAATCAACGCACTGATCAAACCTGGGACCAACTTGTAATCTCGCACAAATGTGATATACCAAAATCCAGCCTCTTGCAAATTTTCTTCTATTAGTGGGTGTGGCTTGGGCACTTTATGTAGTCGAAGACGAAGGACTCGCTGCTCGTCCTCCTACAATTAAATATTTCAAAAAAATTATCACAATCATAAAATAATATTCAAATATTTATTAATTATATTCATTAAACAAATATTTTATTCACCATTATTCCCAAATGACTTGAAATATGTTCATTGTCAAGCCTCAACAGTGGAATTTGGTCAGCCATTGTAATGAATCTGTAAAAAAAATTAAACAACAATATTAAAAAATCATTTAATATAATCTAATATAAACTAACTAACTAATTTACAACACTAAACTTAATATAACTTATAATATAATAACTAACAAACTAAACTTTTTAAAATATAAGTTAAACGTAAACGCTAAACCCTTAAACAACTAATAAAATATTCTTCTATATAACTAAAACTAACTAATAAACTATTTTTTCATTATAATATACTACTAATAATTACTAACTAATTTTTTATATAATATAAATTCAACAAACAAATATAACTTAACTATTTAACTAACACAAACTAATTAAATAATTTTTTTATATAACTAACTATTAACAAAACAAACTAATTAATTATTTTTTAACTATATAACTATCAAACATATACTAATTAAATAATTTTTAATTTATGTATACTATAACTTAAACTAACAATCATATAACCCTAAACTAACAAACTAATTAGCTGTTTTTTGTTTTACCCTAAACCCTAAACTAACAAATTAAACATTTATAATAATAAACTAATTTAAATAAAAAATTTACCTTATCTCCCTTTCTTCTTCTTACTTTCCTTTCTCCCTTTCTTTCTTTCCTTTCTCCCTTTCTTTCTTTCCTTTCTCCCTTTCTTTCTTTCTCGGCTGCAATCTCTTCTCCCTTTCTTCTGCAATCTCTTCTCCCTTTCTTTCTTTCTTTATAACCGGCTGCCTCAATTATTTCACCAACCGGCTGCCTCAATTATTTCACCAATAATTGTACAATTGCAGCTATGATATTTCACGCAGCAATGGTTCAATTATTGTACCAATTATTTCACATGCATGCATTGGCTCAAATGGTTCACATGGTTTCATTGGGAGCTGTAGGCAGCAGCAGCGGGGAGCACGTGAAGGAAGGAATCTATATGGCTGCATGAATGGATGATGGGAATGGATGATGGGAATGGCGCCGGGACTACATGGCGACCTACAAGGTCGCCGGGACCACATGGCGACCTACAAGGTCGCCGGGACCACATGGCGACCTACAAGGTCGCCGGGACCACATGGCGACCTACAAGGTCGCCTAGGCTGCATGGCGACCTCTCTATTCCACTGCATGGCCACCTCGCATGGGGAGAACGCTCGTATGGCTCGCATGGGGAGAACGCTCGTATGGCTCCTATGCATGGGGAGAACCATTGGCTCGTATGGCTCGTATGCATGGGGAGAACCATTGGCTCGTATGGCTCGTATGTCACCCCGTATGTCAACCCGTATGTCACCCCGTATGGCCACCTCGCATGGGGAGAACGCTCGTATGGCTCGTATGCATGGGGAGAACCATTGGCTCGTATGGCTCGTATGTCAACCCGTATGTCGCCTGGATTGCATGGCGTCCTACAAGATCGCCTGGATTGCATGGCGTCCTATGCTCACTGTATAATTCACCCCATTCCAACAATTAATCTCGTGTGTGCACCATATCGTGAAAAAAAAAATCGAGAACATTATCTCGTGAATTCACCCGTCTCTTACTAGAGCATCGATTTATTTTATTTTGGGTAAACTACATGTTTAGTATCTAATCTATCACTTTTATTATGTTTTAGTACCTAAACGTTTAATATTTTTCAAAATCATACATAAAGTTTACTTTTTATTTCATTTTAGTATCCCACCGTCAAAATTTTTGGTACTAAATGAAACAAAAAGTTAACAATGGGGTAATAAAATGAAACAAAAAGTAAACGCCGGGTAATAAAATGAAACAAAAAGTAAACATTAGGTATGATTTTAAAAAATTAAAAGTTTAGGTAGTAAAACAGAACAAAAGTGATACTTTTGTACTAAACTTGTAGTTTACCCTATTGTTTTCATCTGGTTCTCAGCTCCGTTAAGAGGATAAAGAAGGGACCTTTTGGCTAATATTAGTTGAACTACTTCAATTACTCGACCAGAATCGCCAAAAAAAAAAAAAGGTGCCTTCAAGCTGCGAAATCTGCTGTGAACTGCTCATCGCCATTTTGCTCCCTCCTTTGGGTGTTTGCTTAAGGCACGGTTGTGCAGCGTAAGTAAAATTTGTCCTTTGTTTTAGGTTGAAGTTTCTATTTTTGGTTTAAATTGAAATTGAGATTGTGCTGTTTTGCAGGTAGAGTTTTGTATTTGTTTGATTTTAACGATCTGGGCTATGTTCCTGGGATAATATATGCTCTTTACGCCATTGTTTTTGCGAATCGAGATGAGTACTTTGACGAGTACAGGCGGCCACTTTATTATTCAAGAGCTTAGTGTTGTTTAATCATGAATATTTGTGATGCTTTAAGCTTTGATTTGATTTTCGATGTCCTTATGGTATTACGAAGGATAATGGATGTTTGGTCTTTCGTTTTGGTTGGTGAAGAATGCGATGCTTTGATCTTATGTTTGTTTCAGTTGAATCTGGCATTAGACAACATGAATATGGCATTATTAAGTTTGATCGAGTTGGCAGAATTTGGGCCAGAATCCCAGTCGGCCGAACTCTGAACGTCGATCCAATGCCACCGCCAGACATGAAATCCCAGCCGAACACCTAATTTAACAAAATAATCGAAAATATCGACGATCCGATTAAATGAAAAATATATCTAAATATGGTTTTTGATGATCAAATTGAATACATCCCCAGAAACAGTGACGAGGCTTCCACAAAAATGTATCCTACAATAGAAACAAGGACTCAAGGAATGCATTAGTAAGTTAAACACATGATGGTAACAATAAATCAATAATTGCAGCAGCATCATACTTGCATTGCTTTGCACATACTCGGTACTTGAACCCAAAATTTTCTCTCCATATGCACCCGGATGAGATCAGGAGCAGCACCATAAAATGGATTTGTTGGCGGTCCTGGTACCCCATGCTGGCCTCCCAACTTATACATTTCTGAAATACAACATAAGATGCGAAAATGTAGTCAGAAAACTTTTCTTTGAACAAAATATCTCATCATGGTGCATGAACAGAAGTCACAAACTTCTAATTTAAAAGAGAAACAATTTGTTTTGAGAACAATTTATTTAAAAAAGCTATGGAAATTATATACATTTATTAAATTTATGGAATTATTTTTTGAAAAATTGATAGATTATTTTAATTTTTTTTTTGTTAAGATGGATCAATTCGCTCATTTTCTAAATAAACAATGACTCAATGAGCATATACATCAATTTGTTAATCAATTTTTTTATGAATTATAAAAATTCAACTAGATTCAGAAATTAAAAAACTTGAGTATATAAATTAGTAATTAAGTTTCTATGAAAATGTCACGTTATTTGCAAAATTAATATGGTAATTTTTATATTCATAGATTCAAATAAAAATGATTGAACTCAATTAATATTGTTATTTTATGAATAAATAAATAATAGTAATAGTTTTTACCTTTAACGGGAGAAATGATGAATATAAAACAAAGTTAAACATAAGACTGTCAGTATGTTAAATTAGGAAATGATCTTTTTCTTTTTATAGAAGAAAAATAGAGGAACCACAAGTTTAAATAAAATTTTAAAAAATAAATCGATAAAATATATTTAATTTAAATAATAAAGGATTCATTAAGTCATCTTAAAACTAGACAACCTTCGGTTTAATATTCAATGTAACATATAAATTTGAATTTGATATATTCAATACGCTAAGAATTAGTTTTCTTCTCATTTTAAAAATGTACAATCAGAATTAAAATTTCAATTATACCATTAAATAAAAATAAAATGTAATTACAAAAATTTAAAATTCACCAACTACATGTGTTATTTTGAGATACTTGTAACTGGATCACTTTAAATTACGAGGACTAATTTGAACTGATCCGATAATACAGGAACCTTAAAGCTAATTTAATCACGTAAAAATCACAAAACACCTCTCATCACCAACTTTTGAAGTGACCACTATGCCAAACACAAACGCACGAATTTCTTTCTCACTTCTCATTTGTTTAGCGTAAAATATTCACAAAATTTTACACCAATTTGTTCCGAGAACTCTTGATGATTCCTCTTCATTTTTCTCTCACTGAGACGATCCATTTAACACATAAAAAAGAGAAAATTTTATTTTTGCTTTCAGATCTGCGGTTTCAGTTTTAGATTCAATCAGGCCAAGGTTCAGGTTTCGATTTTTGTTTATTATTGTTCCCCCGCTCTTATTTAGATCTGTTTCGTTACATTTTATTGGATTAGGATTTCTGAATTCTGATGTTATTGATTTAATTTTCATTTCTCTAGATATAGTTTAATTTCAGCTCATTTAGATTCTTTTTCCTGTTTTTCTTGAATCCATGTTTGTTCTAAAATGTTCCCGATGAATGATTGGATTTTTTTTCCTGATTCTGATGGTTTGCATTTTTTGTTCTATCAATTGTTTGCCACTACCAAGATTCTTAGTAGTACGACTTTTATCTCTAATGATCTGTCAAAATATTTATGATATATAGATTTTCATCCAAGCCGGTTAGCTTCTTTCATTTAGTAAATCAACTCCTTTTTAATTTATATATTAATTGGAATGTCGTATGATTGGACTTTTATGCAAGTTTGATTTGATTATGTTGCCTGTAAATGATCTTGAAATTTTCTTTTGAATCCTTTGGCTTTTATTTCTTTGCAAAATTGCAACATTTCTAGCTTTACGGGTTTTGATGACTATAATTTTATTCCATTGTGGTGCCCGGAAGTTGTTCAAGATCAAATGTTTCCTACTCTCTTATGTGACAGAGTTGCCTCATTTTGAAAGCAGGGACGATGAAGAAGGTTTTTGGTCAAACTGTTAGAGACCTGTAAGTGTATTATTAGATTCAAATCTCATATCATGATAATATTTCCGAATTTCTTCTGAATATTGAAACATGTAAAGCAATCCCTTGGTAGCAAATTTATCTACGAAAGATGATTGCAATCTTGTTTGTTTTTTAAATCAATATGCTCTATTCCTGCTCCTTGGTATTTTTTTTTTTTTTGCAATAACCGGTGGCTAAATGTTCTTTTTTTTCCCTTTGTTTTTTGCAGTAAGAGAGGGGTTAATAAGAAAGTTCTTAAAGTTCCTGGAATAGAGCAGAAGGTAAGAATATTATTTAGCAATTTCATAGTCCATTTGAGTGTTAAAGTCAATTTTTGCTTGATTGAAGTATATGTTGATCAGTAGTGTCAAGCAGAATATAGTTTTCCTTTGTCTGGGGGATTTACTAAACTATCTAGATATTGTTTTAATTGACGGTGAGAATATTGTTTAGCAATTTCACTGTCCATTTGAGTACGATAAAGTCAATTTTTGCATGACTGAAGTATCTATTGATCAGTTGTGTGAAGCAGAATATCGTTTTCCTTTGGCTGGGGGATTTAGTAAATTAGCCAGATATTGTTTTAGTTGACATGCTATGTGAGATGTTAGACTAAGAATGTGCTTCTGACATTGACCTGGATTTTAGTTGCAAAAATTGAGTTCCTTTCAATATTAGTTATTAAAATGATGATTCTATAATCTGCATATCCTAGTAATAGAAAGGAAACAGAGAGGCTTAGAGAGGAAGAACAAGCAAAACTTACGGAGTCATAGTTGTGGGAAGGGAAAGGAGTAGGGGTGATAAGAGGAATCCAGTGTATGCACATTTGTGAAGGAGTTCTTTCAGACAGTCTCAAGGTTCAATGTTATTTGTTTGCATTATGGAGAGGTGACAGTGAGGGGATCAAATTGATATTGTTATCAGGAAATAGAATAAAAAGTGTAAGAACAAAATTAAGGTTAATGAAGTCTATGGAATAGTAGCTTGATGGATATCTATGTTATATGAGGAGCGTTCTTCACCAGTCAGAGGCGTACATATGGACACTTCTCAACCGAATACTATATAAAGTGGGGTTGGACAGTTGGCTAATTTGATTAGAAGAGCATAGTAATATCAGCCATCAAGCATCTTGTGGTTGCCTGTTGCAGCTAGTTTTGAACCTTTGATTGAATGTTGGGAGCTCTTAATGGAAGGGTACTAAAGGATTGATTCTTACATTTGCTGAAGGATCCATTTTGCTATGTATATCCTTCTCAAGTTTTATTAACCAGCTGTGTTGTGAAGGTGTGTCCCTAGGTGTGCCTTGCTTTGCGTTGCCTTGCCAGACAACAAAGCACCTCAGACCCTTCCAAGCGAGGCCAATTTGATTAGGAACAGTTTTTTGCAGGGCAGCAATAGGCATAAAAAATAAGTCTGCCTGGTTGAAGTTTTCTTTAATTTCTTTTACTTTCACCATGTGTATTGACCATTAAAACATTGTGCATTTTGTTGATAAACTAGACCACACGTGAGAGCTTATTATACTATATCTTAAGCTTACACTAATGTAAAACTAAAATAGTTTTTTCACACTTCTACAACTGTTTATCCGATCATCATATTTTACAATCCGATCATATTTTACAACACTATGATTTAATGCCTTTGATGCTGATGGAGCTGAATCTTGATTGAATTCAATGGCTCCGAAACATTTTCTTTTCTCCGGGAAGGATGTTGTCCTAGAAAGTTTTTATAGAAATAGTATTCTTGATTAACAGCTCTAAACATCAAAGTGACAATATTCTTGTTATACTGTTAAAACTATTATTTCTCTGCTTTAAATAATGTATATTATTTCCCTTCGAATTTCAGGTTCTTGATGCTACTAGCAATGAGTCCTGGGGTCCTCATGGATCACTCCTGGCAGATATTGCGTTGGCAACAAGAAGCTCGTAAGATTGAGAAAAATATCTACGATTTTCATTATTATTTTGTTACATGGAAATTCATTTCCTTTTTTTAATATTCTTGCAGTTCTGAATACCAGATAATCATGGCAGTACTGTGGAAACGTATGAATGACACCGGAAAGAATTGGCGTCATGTATACAAAGTCAGCATTGTGTTGAGGGGTCAGTTGCGATGTTGCATTTATTAACAATTTGGTTTCTGCAACTTAGAAAGTGGTTGTCTAAAAACTCATTTAACTGTTAAAGTAGTTGCACATTTTTTGTACTATAGTTTGCTTTGTGTTTTCTTTTTATGAATTTTACTTTTCCTCCACTACCCCCATACCAAACTCTACCAACGTCGAAAGGCTATTTTGCTTTGGTGTGCCCCAGGCTGACTGTTTTGGACTACCTTGTTGCTCATGGATCAGAGCGTGTCATAGATGACATAAGAGGACATACGTATCTAATAATGGTAATTGTGGTTTCTTTATGCTATATAACAAATGTCATTCAGTATTGATGATATAATCTGCAACTCACTGTATTTAAACATTTTTGTCTAATTGAGTATTTCCTGTGTTGCAGACTTTGTCCGATTTTCAGTATATTGATTCCAGTGGAAGAGAACAAGGTAGCAATGTCCGAAAAATATCTCAAAGCCTTTTGGGCCTCGTAAATGATAACGAAAGAGTAACTGAAGTAAGACAAAAGGCTTCAGCTAACAGGGACAAGTGAGTTGGCAAAATGCCTTTACATTTTGATCTCTTTGCTCTGGTGAACCATCCTCCCAATAAGTGTACTTATTTTGATACTTATTTTGATATTTTGTGCAGTTTTCAATATCATATGTACACGAGCATGTGTACTTACAACATGGCATTGACATGCGTTTCAATGCGAGAAGTACATGTCTGCAAGAGCATATTTGCTTTGAATGTAACACCCCCAACCCGTATCCGACCCGGATACCAGTCCGAAGTGTCACATTGACTTTTCAAACCTTGACTCTTAAGAAAAATCACGGGAAATTTAAAACTTTATTTAAATCAAAATAAAGACTTTATCAGAGTGCTCGTACTTAATGACTTTACATGCCACACTTTATACATAACCAAATACATACTTTGTCAAATATTTCTGATCTGATCTTTTGGTAAGGAAAACTGACATGTCTTGCTTCGCATCACTCCTTACTCTTCTCGAAACCTACGTGTGAAACAATCACACGCTAAGTCGAAGACTTAGTGAGGCATAACAACTTATAATGCACTTTAAAACATATTGATACATGTTTTTTTTCTATCATGTTATAGCATTCCATGCTTTTTCATATCGTATAAATCATCGATTAATTACAGTAAATCCATACATACACATAATTTATCATTCAGTTTATCATATATCACATACTTTTCCATCAACTCTATACACACAACATCATATCATTTCTATAGCATTATCATACCACTACATATATTTGTTCATATCTCTGGATTAGCCCATGTACATATGTGAGAATTATCGATGTGAGTCTATAGAGGTGTACACTAATGCTGTCACCACAGCTCGTATATTGCACCGAAGTGCCGCGTAGAATGCACCGTAGTGCCTAATGATGTCCATAAGGACCCATAGAATTCCTTAAGAATCATACATATACTATGGATCAGTATGTGTCTTTCAAGACTTCACATGTTCCAAAGAATATACATATGTCCCAAAGAACCGCGTAGAATTGCACCGTAATGCCATATAATGTCCATAAGGACCACATAGAATTCCTTAAGAATCATATACATATACTATGGATCAAGTATGTCTTTCAAGACTTCACACATGTTCCAAAGAATATACATATGTCCCAAAGAACCGCTACCCTCGACTTTGCATGCCAACTATACCCCTAGCTCTCATGACACATAACATGGGCGTTATCATTTATTTCATTTCAAATATTTACATAACTTGTAATTCACTTCCATAATTCACATGTCACATATGTCATATTTTCATATAATTTCTATCATTCTCATCCAATCACCTTTATTCTGTAACATACTTATCATATCTTGTTCACATAAGATCATACTTCATATAATTTATCAAAACACCTAGAACACTTTCACGTAGCTTATAGTCTAGGTCCTTATCTCATAACATATATTGTTTCACATATATATTTCATATCATTCTTATACCATCACATAATTCATTTAACATACATAACATATTATGTAACATTATCATAGAAATACCTATATATATCACTTAGAGCACAGATATACCTATATCACATTGCTTATATCTTATCTTATGCTTCTCTTAGACATATATATTCACTGTTCAGGTAACCCACCATTTCATCAATTATGTATTCATATAACTCATTTCATATCTATCTATATATATATATATATCCTCAAGATTATCCTAATATAAATCATATAGCACTCTTATAATTCATATTCATATTATCTAGGCAGACTTATAAACATATCTCACTTCTATTATTTCTTTATATATATATAATCTAATCTGTTTACTTAATTCAATTTCATATAACTCCTATAATCTTCTATAACTTCATAATTTCTATCATACACCATGTGTTATAGTTTTATTTAAACATATGAATCTTTCCCATCTAGCTTATCTTAGATGATCATCTTATCATTATGTTCAAATCTCCTAGTTAGTGTACTATTCTCACTTCACCTATAGATCAATATTATCCAGCTTATTTCACTATCATATAATAATAATATATTTTACTATGATCACATAGTTTATATCTCATATAATTCATAACCTTTCTTATGTAATTACTTATACTTTATCATCTAACACATAAAGAACAGATCAATCCATATAATCAAACATACATACATGCATATTCCACTTCTCACTTCATCTATAGATCAATATTATCCAGCTTATTTCACTTATCATATAATAATAATTATATTTTACTATATCACATAGTTATATCTCATATAATTCATAACCTTTCTTATGTAATTACTTATACTTTATCATCTAACACATAAAAGAACAGATCATCCATATAATCAAACATACATACATGCATATTCCACTCATGCCTTTAATCATGAATTCATGTGTAACACTTTAGGAAATAGACTCATCGCAAGTCTTATTCCCATCGCACATCGTATACTATTGAATATGCACTCACCTGGTCACTAGCATTCCAATCTCTTATCTTCCCTTGATCGATCTTACTTGCCAAACGTTCCGGAATTTCTTTATGCGTAGAATCTACATAAATGTACATTTCGAGGTAATCATTAGATACTACACCTTGTAATTGATACTAGCAACTTAAACGAACTTATTAAACCCATATTCCCATTTCCTTTAGGGGGAATCGTTCCCCCCTATGGGGGTATCGGTTCCCCCATGACATACTGGAATTCTTGTTCGTTTGAAGGGGTATCGGTTCCCCTTGCCCAGAAATCATATTTTGAGCTCGAAATCTTTCATTTCAGCTCAACACATCATACTTCATTCCCTAATATTCCTAACTTTCATACACATACTTAAACTCATTTCTACTCCATAATCACTTCTTTAAACTCAAAATTCTATCATTTACATGGCATTCAAGAATCACACTAAATTTCCAACATGTTCTAAAACCCATTTTATCACTTCATATCTCTTAATTTAACCCTTGACAAGTCAAATTCAACTTCACAATCTATTATCTCCTTCCATATCAAAAATTCACTTAAAAACCTCATTTTTCTTAATTTCTCATACTTGTTAATCTTTGAGGTTTAAGCCACCTAAAGCTTTCCTTAATCTTTCTTAATATCCCAAGAATCAAAACAAGCTTTAAAACGAAAGAATTAACCAACTAAAGACCCACTTACCTTATACCAGGCTTCACGGTTGAGAGGAGGAAGAAGAAGACTGAAGAATGCTCTGGACTCTCTTCCTACGCTTATTACCCTTATAAAGGGAATAAAAATCTTCCCTAAAAAAATTACCATAGTACCCTTAATATTTCCAAACTTAATCATTAAATCCAACATCAACTTTCTTCAATTAAATCCATGAACTTTTAACTTATTTCGAAATCGAGCACCTAGTTTACAAAATTTGCAATTTAGTCACTGACCCTGATTTGGGATGTTACATTGAACTTCATAATTACATGTGATCAGTGACAGGACCACGTAGAGGGTGGGAGGGGCCCTGACCCGCCAACCTTTTCAGATTAATTGACTTACTCCCTGCCAGTGCAAACATTAAGCAAACTGAGCCTTGCTCCCCAAATTTTTTTTGTTTAAATGCTTCTTAGGACCCTGTCAATTTCAGAATCAGACAGATAGATTCTGTTCCCTCCAATTTTTAACTTTTAAATTGACAGATTTAAAAAACTGTTCATAGTTTATCTTCTCCATTTTCACCTTGAACTACAATTCCGTTTCTGGTCACTCTTCCAGCTGTCACAGATTCTCTGTAGCTCTTGAACATCATTCTGCTTTAGGCTGACAAAGGCATAGTTAACCAGTTCTGACACATAGTTTTCTTGAAGATTGTCTCCCTTTTCTTTCTGAGTCTTTTCGGACCATAGTCATACCTCCGCGTTTTCCACCTCTTACATTACAACCCCTTTGTCCATTAATGCATATTATTTGTGTGTAATGAACACCTTTTTATGGATCAATGACCTCTTTTTATGATGCAAATGATAAAAAGACAAACATGAAAGGAAAATTAGTTAATAAGACAAAAACAATAATTAAAGTAAAAATAAAAATAACAAATTGCATGATTAAGGTAAAAACATCATAGGTTTTGAAATGGAGTTTTGGGGTAGGTTCTAATTCTCTGTAGTCTCACGGTTTAGGTTCTAAAGAAGGTACTCGAGTTCTCCTTGTCGGTGCCCCTTGGGTTTGTCAGACCCTTAGCCTTAAGCCCATTACAAGATCATGTGGACTGAGTTAAACTCGAGATGACACATTCCCTTATACCCACACGGAGAATAAATTCTCACGAATACATTAGGTATAAGAATCTCGAATGCTACTTGCTAGGCACGCACGGAGAATAAATTCTCACGAAGGCGTCGTTTTCACCCCTACTTAAAAGGGTTCAGAGCTCGGGTATAGAGCCTTAGGTGGAAAAAGGTTTGATAAGCTGAAACCATTAAAAGAAAACGCCAGTACAACTATTTATTTGAAAATATAATCAAATGTAAGTAATAAGGATCAAAAAATTAACTTGAAATTTAAACTTACACTTTTCACTTAAGAAGACAACTGAAAATTAACGTTAGCCTGATCTGCATCTTACCAAAGATATGTTGGATTCGGGAGTCGGCTATAGTCAAGGAAGGATTAGCACCCTTGGACTTTCCTTTCGGTACTAATTAAGTTCCAGTTGTCTTAATTAAGAAAATTGTAATTTAAATTGAAAGATAAAAGTTCGATCCAAATTACTTACCTTTAATGGATTTAAAAGCGTACCCTTAAAAAATCAAAAAAAATGTTAGATAAAGTAAAATGCATAATCAAAAGGAAAAATGTATGTTAAATTATGATGCTTTAAGTAAACAATATATGCATGAGGAATTAAAAGAAATAAAAACAAAAACAAATTGCCCATTTAAAAAAAATACACAGCAAATAAATAATGTAAAAAAAAGTCAATTAAATTAAAGATAAAAAGATTAACTGCGGAATTATTAGGAATAATTACTAAAAGATTAAATTTAGAAGAAAATAATAAAATAATTAAAAACAATAAAAAGTAAAAAGTAAAAGTAAAAGAAATGAGAAAAATAAGGGAAAATGAAAAAAAGGAAACAAGATGGCTAAATAAAAAAATAAAATAATAAATAAAATAAATAAAAAACCTAAAAAATAGTTAAATAAAAGGGAAAAAAGAAATTAAATAATAATAATAATAATAATAAACAATT